CTCTACACTGTCTTCCTTGAAACATTTTTTTCTGCAACAGAGAGATAAACACTCTTCTGCAAAGGCCTTTGTGTGGTGACTAATAAGAATTACCGGGACAGTTTAATGCTGTCTTACTTCACCAGCTATCCCTTATTCAGTGTGACATAAGTAATCAATCCCCAGTATACAGTTAATTAGCATCCGATGATACAGTAATGTTTTAATTAATGCTTTGACTTAAACTTCCCCTTTAAAAGCATTATTTAGCTAGTTTACTATGTTAAGTGCATGATGGTTGATAAAGCATTATTCCTATATTTGTGTGTGTGTATAAATACATGCACACCTTTTTTATAAATTGTATACACCTATAAAAATATTTTATTATTTTTCCAGGCTGCAAACACAGAGCTGTCTAACAAACTGGATCAAGCAACAGAGCAGCTTACTGAATATGAATCTGTCAGGCTGAAAAAGGAAGAGGAGGTGATGTCACTGAAAGAAAACTTGGAAAGGTAAGCACTTTGCATCTATTGCTTAGGCTGTACACGAGAAGCCAAGTCAGACAACAGCAGCCAAAGCAAATGAAAATTGCTGTTTGTGGCATATGGGGGCAGCAGAAATAATACATGAGCACTGAGCTTGGATTGGGATTGTAGACAAAAAAAAATGTGACTTGCCAAGAATGCAAATTTCTTTCTCAACCAAAGTGATGTATTACGTTTATTGCATTCCTTATCTCCTTTATGAAACTATCCTACACGGTGCTAGACTTTCTTCATAGTGGGCTGTTGGGACATTTATAATACTCCACAGCTCTCCAGAACTCCAGGTCATTTACACCACTACTACTATGTTCACTCTGCAGATCCTGAGCAAACTACTTCTGTCTCTCAGAGAATTAGTTAGTCTGATCACAGCATGTGAATAGAAATAGTGTAGTTGTATCCATAAAGCACCACACACTGTTGTACCAGCTTCTCTTAGCAGATGCATCTACCTGCTTGTGCCATGGCAATATTTTTTGGGGGAGTGGGGGAGAGGACCTAAAATTTGGGTCTGTCCTGGAAAAATTGAGATGGCTGGTTGCTTTATTTATGGGTCTGTTTGTGCCCAGTTTGCAGATGACATAAGTCATTTATGACACTTTTTACAGAGTCCTGGATGTTTAGCTGAAGCCTCAACAGCTCATGATTTTAGCTATAGGGAAACTCAGTTCTGTCCTTGCTGTCTCAGCCAGGGGGACAGTCATCATAAGTGTACCTGTAATAAGGGAGCAGGAAAATGGTCTCTGGTCCCTAGAAATTACTGATTGTCAGAGGTGCCCCTAGGTTAACATACCTTTGCATAGCTCCAAAAGTGCTTGAAAAGCTAAAATGAACCTTATGTGGCAGCACTTATGCTGAGAGAAATTTCACTGGAACTACAGATTTGATCAGGAGACATTTCACAAGGGCCTCGCGTAAGAAACAAAAATTTAGTTTACAAATAATGTGCAAAATGAATTTGCATTTAAACAGGGCCCAAAAGGAAGTTGACAAAGCAAATGAGGAAGCCCAAGAATATAATGACAAGCTCAACAAAGTGAAAATGGACAGAGAGAGCAATGACCAGAAGTTGTTTGCTGAGCTGGATGATCTAACAAGAACCAAGCAATTCCTGGAAGAACGTTTAATAGAACTCATCAGGTTGGTACAAAAAAACCCAAATCATTCAATTGCAGGGGGCTTAAATAGTGCTACTTGGAGGATCTAATCTTCTATTCCTCAACTGGAAATGAAGGTAACAGACAAAATTTATGAAATCTTGTTAAATAGTAGTTAAGTTCAATAGTTAAGTGATATATAAAGTAATATAAAAGTAATATATCCCAAATGTTACATTTTGTGGGGAGATCTGTTTTGCTATGTAATTCAGAATTCGATACATTTCCATCTTCTCCCTCAAACATGATTCTGTATTTTTTTCCAGCCAGTATTTTTTTCTCCAATGTGTAATGCTTACAGTTTGTCTCTACAGTGCAGTTTTTGAAAAGCTGAGCCTAAGTAGCCTGCCAAAGGTCATGCATGCAGGCAGTGGCAGATGCCAACTGAACTTCGGTCCCCTGGTCTGTCTTGTGTCTTAACCCAACGGCTTAAGACAAATTTTTCTCTCTCAAAAAAAGACTTCCCTACACTGCCTGAAAATTTCTAACCACTTTTAGAACAAAAAGACAAACATGTTGCAGTATATGATAAAAAGTCAGGGGTGTTCTACTTTCAGCCTTCTAAGTGTTTGATCTTATGAACTTGTTGACATGTTGGCAAAAGGTGTAAAATAATGCTACTATTAGATAACACAAGCAACAGAGTGCTGAGTGGTTTCTCACCTCTTTACGAATCATGTCCTCCCCTTCTTACACAACAGTGTTCTCCAGACTGGAAAATCTTCCCTGCTTAAATCAAATTAAGAATGAAAATGCACTTCAGCCATCAGATATCAATTACTCAGCAGAAGATGAGATCCTATGGAGAGGTTCCTTCTACATGTCATTTTGTGAGGCTGGTTCAGAAGTAGAACTGGTACTATAGTATGCTTTTATCAGTTATTACTCCCCTAAATACTGTCAAAAATTTGAAGAATTTATGAACTTAAGGAATTTATGAACTTATTGGGCTGATGCCCAGAAGTACCCATTCTTCTTGTCAGGACTTTTTGTATTGTCCAATCAGAAAACAGAGATAGTTACTTATTAATGATAGTTGTCCAAGAAGTTGAACTTAACTTGACTTAACTTGACAAGTTAATGATCAAGAAGACACAAATGTGTGAAGTCCCTAAAAAGGAATATAAAACTCTAAAACTCTTGGTTCAGAGGTGATACTTTTTATTAGACAAACTAGAAAAAAGCAAAAAAAGAAAGATTTTTTGCTGTTTTCTAGTTAGTCTAATAAAAGGTATCACCTCTGAACCAAGAGTTTTAGAGTTTTGTATTCCTCTTTGTCTCAGACCAACACAGCTATAAAACAGATCCCTGAAGTCCCTAAAAAGTCTTTTTATCACTTATCCTTTCCCAGATATACATAGTGATGGTTGCTAATTAGTAGGTTTAAGATAGCTGTAACTTTCTTTCTCACTTCCAGTCTTTCCAGAGGCCATTTTCACAGGTGATGCATGAACGAAGAATTGATTATGCTAATTTTTCAGGCGTCAAGGTTAAGTTTTTCAGACATTTGGAAGGTTAAATTGGGTTCAAAATGGCTGCCTGATTTAAACTTAGCTTGTCCCAATGCTAACCTTACGCTTATAGATTTGGTCTCAGTGACCAGCAGTCAGTCTAAACAGTCTAACAGAACAGAAGTTCCATGCATACAAACTGGTCTAAAATTGCAGAACCTGGTTTAAGATAAACCTGGATCTGTGTAGTATCACACTCATTCGATTTGGGTCAAACCAGTGCATGCAACTTCTGTCCACCTTCCTTATGCAGCCCTGGGGCTGGGAAAACCCAATCACTGGCCCCAGCCCCAGGGCTGCTCTTTCCACACCCCTCTTCTCCTGCACTGGGCTATTTTTTGTCCCCCTGGTCCCTTGCTTCCTTCCCAGCCAGCGCTCTCAACCCCTATCCCACAAGCAGCTCCGTTACAGCTGCTTTTATCAGTGTTTGTGCTGCCAGAACCAAACAAGTAAGTCCTGGTGTGGGGAGGGGCAGGAGAGATGGAGGTATAAGTTTGCAGGGGGGGACACCACCCCACCTCACCCATGGGTTGAGCCTGTCGCCCCCACTCCTCATGGGTTGCACCTGCCCCCATACCTGTGGGTCACACCTGTTCCCCTACCCCACCTGCAGGTAACGTTTTGCCCCCATCCCCTGGCAGACCCTTGATCCCCTCCAGCCTGCTAGATCCCCTGCCCCCTGACTAGCCCTCCCCATCCTGACTTACCTGATATCAGACAGCCATTTTTAACTGATTTAACCTCCCCATAATGCCCCTGAATGTTTGTACTTAGTCCTTTAAACCCAATTATGCCCACTCTCAGACATTTGGATGCAAATTGGAGGCTTATCTTGCTGGGATCCTATGACCCCAGCTGA